AATTGACTGTGGAATATTTAGTGGTTTTTCTCTTATTAGTCATGTTATGTCCTATTGGCCGGGCGCACCCTTAGAGATAGGGTGAGAAGCTTGGTCACCCGGGAGGAGCTCAGAGTAGAACTGCTGCTCCTCCACACCGAGAGGAGCCAGCTGAGGTGACTCGGGCATCTGTTTCAGATGCCTCCTGGGCGCCTTGCTAGGGAGGTGTTCTGGGCATGTCCCACCGGGAGGAGCCCCCGGAGAAGACCCAGGACATGCTGGAGGGATTATGCCTCTTGACTGGCCTGGGAACGCCTCGGCATTTTCCCGGAGGAGTTGGAGGAAGTGTCTGGAGAGAGGGAAGTCTGGGCATCTTTGCTTAGACTGCTGCCCCTGCGACCCGGTTCCGGATAAGTGGAGGAAAATGGATGGATGGATGGATGGAAAGTATAATTGAATACAATAAATACATGAACTGTAAATAGACAAGTCTTTGTTAACAAGTTTGTCATATCATTTTAAAATGTAATAGTATGCAAATGTTTTGTTTACAGCTTGTTGTCTCCAAGTGGTCAAATATTGTTACTGCACTTTTCCCAAAATTTTTTTTTTGGTTTGCTTTTTGATTAATCTAATGCAAGTTAGTCACTTTCACAGAAAAAAAAGAAGTTATCTTCCCTACCCCCAGGCTAATGGGGGCTAAGAGCCATGTTTCCTTAGTAACAAACAGGACAAAAATTGACAATAAAAGTGAAACATGGCTAGTAGTTTGTGGTTAGCTAGCAATGTTGCAGAATGAACAATGAGAAAGGATAAAGTTTTTATACAGCACAGTAACTTGTGGATACACAGTAGTACATCATTGATGACATCATAAGTCATTTTCATATGTCCAAGGAAACTATGCTGGGCCTGACCCAGTTGCTTGGTCAGCCACGTTTATATATAAGTTACAGTAGATGTAAGTCATAATCAACATGTACGTGGCGTCAGGAATGGGAAATTCTGTTTATACACTGGGAATAATACAAAGAAACATTACAAAATACAGATAAGCAGAAATTTTAATGAGAAGATTGTCATATGAGCTGCCCATCTTAAAAGATCTATTTTTATTTCATCATATCCCCAAACTGCTCCCTCAGCCACTAATTTACGGAGTGTAGATTAGTGGTTGCAGTGTATTGAAATAATTTGATGTTTTGTGGGTATTGAAGTCATTTAAACAATCTAAAATATGAACAGCTATATTTGTTTCATGGTGAGGTAGCTTGCTGCTTGTAACGTCTAATATATTCTAATTCACTATCATAAGAACAAAGCATTCTTTGTGTGCATGGGAATGTGTGTGACATTTTGTTCAGTTTATTTTATCTTGTTGTGGGAGTGCACCTACTGTGTGAATGTGTGTCCTGGAAGTAGGTGAAACATGCCTTCTGTCTCCCTCCTCCTCTCTCTGCTAACAAGTTCTCTTAACTGTGTTTCCAACATCGTTATTAAAAATGAGTAATTTGGCTAGCTTTCTGTGAGACATCTCCTCAGACTTACAATGAGTTGGAGGCTGAGAAGACACTGACAATGGATGCTATCTTCTGTTTATGGGGGATATTTTATAAAAGGCGATAAAAACACAGACTTTTATGCCCCTGAATTTCTGCCTCACTCCTCCATTTGCACATAAATCTGTATTCTCTCTCTCTTTTTCTCTGTTTCCTCTAATTTACCCTGCAGGGTTTCTGAGCACAGGGGACCAGTCTGCTAAGGGGAACTATGGCTTGTTGGATCAAATCCAGGCCCTGCGCTGGCTCAATGAAAACATTGGCCACTTTGGAGGAGACCCAGAAAGAATCACCATCTTTGGCTCAGGAGCCGGCGCTGCCTGTGTGAACCTTCTCATCCTCTCCCACCACTCTGAGGGTTAGGTTCTTTCACTCTCATTATCAATTCAGTTGTTATATACCCTGCTCCAAACATTTCAGGACAGTGTAGCAAGTGTATTTTTTTACAGAGCATGTTAGTAATTTCAATGAACAGCCTAAATCAGATAAAGATATATGGCAATATTATCTTCCCAAGTGAAGGCCTACAGTATTCAGAAATGAGTTGTTGATTATTATGCCAACAGGGTATCTGATCACTGGCAGGGCATATGTGTTGGTGTGTCTTAGTGAGGACCAAGTATCTGACCAAAAACAAGGCCAGACAAGTCTGTGCAGATTCTCAGTCATCCAGGTCATAGTAAACTGAAAAAAACTGAAAAATCAACTGGACTTAGATTTCTAGAAGGCCAGACAAGGCAAAATAATTCCATCTCTTTTGCTCTTTTGTTCTTTTGCTCAGTGTCTTTTTCTTGACTTCAAGTCACATTTCACTAATGTCTCAGACATTACGCCAATGCTATAAAATTTGGTTTGTCGAAAACACTACCTACCATTCTTTGTATAAATATAACAGCAAGGAGTGTATAATGTGCCACTGGTTCCCAAACTTTTACAGACCTTAACACTCATTATTTTTTATTTTATTTTTTCATGACAGCTCCAACCCTATGGTTTCTGGTTAAATAAAGGTAAAAATACATTTCGATATATTTTAAAGCATAATATGAAAATGTAATTTATGTAAATGTGAGGAAATGTTAACTTAAAAGTACAATTAAAAAGAAAAAATATGTATACCTTGCAGTTTCATTGGCCTGTCCTCGAGGCACTATACTTTGAGAACTAAAGCTTCCAGTGCATTATCTATACTATATATTATATATTAAGAATCAGAATCAGCTTTATTGGCCAGGTGTGTCAGAAACACAAGGAATTTGACTCTGGTACATTGGCTTTCAATGTGTATGTACATATCCCCATGCAAGGGGCAAGTAAACAGTAAACCAGCATTAAGGACTTTATTTACTGATTTTTGTAAAAAAAAAAAAAAAGCCCACCAAATCAGATGCTTGATCACTAATCCTATGATGTGATCTTCGTTGGTAGAGCTTTGAAGGTGAATGGCACTTTACACTGTTATTACTGAACTGTTGACTTTCACACTGAGAGACTATGGACAGATTTAAAATAATAATAATAATACATTTATTTATTTTGTTCAGTATGAAACAGATTTTCAGAATCCTCTGAGTGCTACAAGGGTGTCTGTCATGAATCAGAAAACATTCAGGAGGCCATGGAAAAGCATTTCAACAATTGGATAGTATTGACCAAAGTGTTAGTTTTTGAAAAGTTGCCGGCTAATGTTGGCTGCACCCCATGCTTTCCATGGATTAGCCAAATATTCCCACCTACAAACTTGAACTATACGCTGGTTTTCTTTCAATCAGACAGTCTGATCACATGCCATTTCATACATAATAATTATGCAAAGGCTTGTGACACAAAACAACAACTCACAAAAAAGTTTTTCATTTATTTTCAAATACATTATTTTGCTTCTAAAATTGTACTGTGCATCCCATATTTGCTACACCTGCTGTGAGAAATTTAGCATTCAACTTGAAAGGTTTTATGTTACTATATTAAAAGCACATTTATAGTTTATTTAAAAACTTTGTTTCAGATTCATTTAAAAAGAGTTTTGGTTAATGTTGGTCAAGATATTGGTAAGGGTTTTATTTATATTAAGTTAGTATATTCATTCATTTTCTACCGTTTAGTCCCTGAGCGGGGTCACGGGGGGGGGGGCCCCAACCCATAGACGAACAACCACACACACGCACGCACTCCTATGGGCAATTTAGAGACACCAGTCAACCTAAGCTGCATGTCTTTGGACTGTGGGAGGAAGCCGGAGAGAACCCACACAAGCACGAGGAGAACATGCAAACTCCACACAGAAAGGTCCCAGGTGGGGCCCGAACCCAGAACCTTCTCGCTGTGAGGCAACGGCGCTAACCACTGTGCCACTGTGCTGCCCTAAGTTAGTATAATATCAGAAAATGAAAAATGAACATTCACATGATCACTATGCGTTGTTATGCAGAGATTTATGGCAAACCTTCTCTTTTGTTCCATGCTGAAGGCTGTATCATCACAAAGTGCAGAAAAAGTTAGTGTGTGTGCAGAGGAGAGATGAGATGGAGCTGCAGTTAAGAGGCTTCCTAATTGATTTCACAGGGAGAGGAGCGGGGGCGGGGCACATGCTGAATATGGGGGGGCTTAATTATTAATGACAGAATCTGCGGATAAAACAGAGGGACAGCAAGCCACTTTACATAACAGTGCAGTGGTGCAACAGTGCGAACAGTTTTCTTTGTTTCTCTGTCTCGCTTCAACTAACACAGCCTGTCAAGCCCACTGCCATGTGTAGGGTTGTCATCAGTGTTCTTGCTGCTATCTCTTGTTGTATGTAATGCAAGCACTTCATTTTCCTACCTTAATGTTCATAAAGATGTTTTCTGACTATAAAAAAGCTGTAGGATATCAGTGCTTCATCTTGCTTCATATGTAATATTCTACAACTGCTCCTCCTCTCACTTATGCATTATTGAATGCATTCACAGTGTAAGGCCTTGAGGGCCCATCAGCTGCAAATGAAAGTGTGTCAGAGGGAAGGAGACAGACCTAAACTGAGAGGAAATATGTATGATTGCTGCTGAATTTATGTGCTGTATACTGTCCTGCTTCATGTAGGCCTGTTCCAGAGGGCCATTGCTCAGAGTGGCTCAGCCATCTCCAGCTGGTCAGTCAACTACCGGCCGCTGATGTACACCGACATTCTGGCGAAGAAGGTCGGCTGCACTCTGGGGGACAAGCCTGAGTTGGTAGACTGCCTGCGGAGAAAGAGTTTCCGGGAGCTGGTGGACCAAGACATCCAGCCCGCACGCTACCACATTGCCTTCGGGCCTGTGGTAGATGGAGATGTGGTGCCGGATGACCCTGAGATCCTCATGCAGCAGGTCAGAGCTGGTGTCCCTTGGTGTCATAATTGCATTTTTTTCTGTTCCTTGCATTCAGTGTGTGAATACACTATTGCCCTAACTAGTACCAATCGGGGCTAATTACTATTCCATTTTGTTCTGTCATGTCATGCTGTGTGTGTTTGTTGTGACACCAGGGCGAGTTCCTCAACTATGACATATTGCTGGGTGTCAACCAAGGAGAGGGCCTGAAGTTTGTGGATGACAGTGAGGGAGAAGATGGAATATCGGCAGCCTCATTTGACTACACCATCTCCAACTTTGTGGACAATTTGTATGGATACCCTGATGGTCAGATTCTCCTTTATTTTACCTTAAAATTCAACTATAAATGAAAGCTTAGACTTGTATTTTTACAACTGTGGTTAGCCAGTGGTGCGGTGCTGAGAAGCAATTAAAACCATGTTCAAACTACAATGAAGATGCCAGAACATCTAGAGTTGTGCTTATGATGAAATCTTGTCGGATTGCTACAACCTATAAGGTGACGGTCAGGGGTAGCAAAGTCACCACTATGCTGTTTTGATTTTTTATGTTACAGTGGATATTTTTCAAATAGATTCTTTGTCTTTCTGCTACAATGACATTGTTTCTTCTTCATTGTCTGATGCTTTTCAGCCAAACAATCTGAACAGAGATAGTGGAAGTATAATGCTGGCCAACAATCTCACACATTAAAGAATCTGAGGGAAGATTCTGTAATAATAGAACTCTAATACAGAAAAGCTTTTGAAATGTGAGCATTTAAAAGTTGTTTGTGGATAAATATTCATGAAGTGTATATATTTTGGAAGGAGGCTGACTTGCTACGAGTCATTTGTGCATTGGTTTTCAGTCAAGTCACAGTCATAAGATAGTGCTTTGTCAAAAAATAAATAGAGGTGAACGAATAAAGAAATGTGGCGGGTTGACAACAAGCTCTGCTGCATTTTCCCTTTTGCAGTAAAATGTATTTATTTTGAAGGGATGGTATAACAGTGTTCATGCACCTTTTTACTGACTTACTTAACTGTAAGCAGACAAGCTAGCAAGGCTACCAAAAATTAGCCTGTGGATGCTTTCATCTGTCATGTGACCGTACAGTAGTAGTCCCCTGAATCGCTGCTTTGACATTGTATCTAGCTGAATATTTTGACCAACCGTATCACTTTTTTGATAATCTATTTATTATGATGAAATGAAAAACTGAAGGGGCACAGGATGATATACACTGTATAATATGTAAAGTAAATTATGTTGATGATGCCTCCTGTGCAATAGTAGTGTGACTTTATTGGACAAGGAGATGGAAGGAAGTATTAAAAAAAAAAAGCCTAGCGACACTCCACCATCAAGATGACATACATTTAAACCACAAAAGTTACAAATTTCAGATTTAAGTCTTTTCACCTAATGCTGCGGATAACCACAGATTCTGTCACTGCACGCAGTACACACTGTACTCACATTCCTTTTTGTTTCTTTCCAGGTAAAGATATACTGAGGGAAACCATAAAGTTCATGTACACAGATTGGGCTGACAGGGACAACAGTGACATGCGTAGAAAGACGCTTCTGGCTCTGTTTACAGACCATCAGTGGGTGGCCCCAGCTGTCGCCACCGCCAAACTGCACGCTGAATTCCAGTCACCTGTCTATTTCTATACCTTCCATCATCACTGTCAGACGGAGGCGAGGCCAGACTGGGCAGATGCAGCTCACGGAGATGAGATTCCCTATGTATTTGGGATTCCCATGGTGGGAGCCACAGACTTGTTTCCCTGTAACTTCTCCAAGAATGATGTAATGCTCAGTGCTGTTGTCATGACATACTGGACCAATTTTGCCAAGACGGGGTTAGTAAAATGCCAAACTTAAGAGTATTTTCTTCTGTAAACATTTATCTTAATATCAACAGTATATGGTATGCATAAGCTTTAATGGTGAGACAGTGGGGATTTCATGTTCCAAAAAATTTGTCCATTGTCCCTTTAGCACATAAAAAAACTAAACAAAAAAAACCCTGGAATTTCCCCATTGTGGGATCAATAAAGTTCTACCCTACCCTACCCTACTGATGTCAGAAGTGAGATTTTGGCAAAGTGAGCCCAAGAAAGGGACACTGTAAGTTTGCTGAAAATTAATATAACATTTCTGTTTAGTTTTGTTTTTAATGACTCAGTGATAGTTTCTAAGAAGACAGAAATGATTGCAACTCAATATATGCGGTGGGTCTAAGCGCTTGGGACTGGCATAAACTTGGACATACAGCACCCACGCTTTCTGAAGTGTTCCTTATTCTAATTGCCACAGCAGATTTCTGCTCTAATGGCACATCAGCTCCTGTGCCTTAGTGTTTTTAATAATTATAGTAACACAGCTAATGCAACATTTTAGTAATGAATCATTCATTAGCATTAAAAAATATTTTGATTCTGTCATCTCACTCTTCCAGGGATCCTAATCTACCAGTTCCTCAGGACACCACATTCATTCACACCAAGCCCAACCGCTTCGAGGAGGTCATCTGGACCAAGTTCAGCACTAAAGACAAGCAGTACTTGCATATCGGCCTGAAGCCGCGTGTCAGAGACAACTACCGGGCTAACAAGGTGGCCTTCTGGCTGGAGCTAGTGCCACATCTCCACAGCCTCCATGAGGACCCTGTTAACCCCATAACAACTCGTCCTCCACCCGGCGGTCCCAACCGCTGGAAGGGCCCTCACAGCCCTGGCACCCGCACCACACGACATCCTGTAATCTCTACCTATCCTCCTGATCCTGAGCCTGATGGCTCAGAGAGACCCCCCTATAAACCTCCCTTCCCCAGTGAGACTAGGGACTACTCCACTGAGCTGAGTGTGACAGTAGCTGTGGGTGCCTCGCTTCTTTTCCTAAACGTGTTAGCCTTTGCCGCACTCTACTACAAACGGGATAAGCGGCATGAACTCATGCAGAGACGCCACCGTCGACTCTCCCCACAACGCGGCACAACGATGGGCATGGGTGTCGGCATGGGGGTCGTAGGGGCCCCACCGCACAATGATCTGGCGCTGAGCCAGGAGGAGGAGCTAATGTCGCTGCAGATGAAGCAGCAGAGAGTGGAGCTGGAGCACGGCACACCCCTCCCTTCCCGTGGTGTCCTTGGTGACCTGGAGCCTCTGCGGCCTCCTGTGTGCCCGCCTGACTACACTCTGGCCCTACGGCGAGCACCGGAGGATGTGCCACTGATGACAGCCAATACCATTACCATGATCCCCAGCACCATCAGCAGCATGCAGCCCCTCCACCCATTCAACACTTATCCCCCTGTCCCAGCTCCCTCTACTACACCTGTCCCCAGCCACAGCAACAATGCTCTGCCACACCAACACTCCACCACCCGTGTATAGGACCAGGCACAACTTCTGGTACCCCATCCTGGGCTTACAGAGATACACTGCACAAACTGCTTCATATAAACATCACTCTCACCGCCCTTTATTCTTCTTTACTATACTTTTGTATTTTCTCATTAAGCCCTCAAATAAAGCTGCAGTTTGTAAGATTTTAAGCCTTGAAATACCTCTAAAATAAAATTATTAATTAAGAGAGAGTTGATCAAGAAAGCTTCTTTGCCAAAAGCCTGTCATCATAGGTACATACTGCTCTGAACCATTAAAGTTCTTTCAACATGTGGTGCTTAGGTGAGCCACTAAAACTCTTGCAGCTCTCTCTCAAAGAGATATCGAGCTAATCTAAATCAGTCTTATGTATAGCTTGGCTGTTTTGTGTTTTGTGTCAGTGTAAAACTATGTTTAACTTACATAAAATGCACATATCTGTTTTCATTCATTTAGTGAAAAGATTTAACAATAGCAAACAAGCCGTCTGTCATAAAGTGGTGATTTCTTGAAACTTATAAATTGCAGCTTTAAAGGCCCAATCTGGAGGTGAAATGTGGCCCAGCTATGTCCCACTGTCTGTCTGCCCTGATTTTGGAGACATTTTAGTGTGAAATGTATTGACAGGGCTGGGATTACAAGGATGACAGCCAAGCCTGAGTTTTTTACTGGCTTTAAAACTTAATTTCTTCATCTTACAAATGTATATACTTTTTCAGTTATGATGTAACTTAAATGGCATCTAAAGTTGTGCTTTTTACCAGTCTATATACTTATAGCTGATGCTTTCACAACATTTCCAGATTGGGCCTTGGACTGATGGGCAGTACAGGAAATAACTGAATCATTCTCAGTGTGTGGGATGCAACCTGGAATCCAGGCTGCCCATTAGAACTTGCTGCATCTCCGCCACACAGGCTCTAATCATGTCCATTACTTTATTTGTTTCTCACTCATTATCTCTCTGTGTCCCAGTCTCAGCTCATTTAACTGCTTCTCTTTTCACTGCCTCGCACTCTTTGTCTCTCTGCATCTGCCCCCGCAGCTCTTTTTATTAAACTATTGATATAATCCATTTCCCTCTCCACTTTTTTCCTCTTCCTCAGTCACTTCTAGACTTGTTTTTCCTTTCAGTCTTTTATACAAAAACATAAATGTAAATGATGTATTATTAATAAATTGTAAGGATATGAATGAAAAAAAGATATTCTGATATCTCGTTTTTACCAGCATTCTTGGTGCCAAGTACTGTGATAAAGTTCCTCTCTTGCTGGCGTCCAGTGGACCGCCTGGAGAGGTCCATCCTGACTGTATCTTACAAAAGGAATTACCTTCATAAAAAGTGCCAACCCCTTCGTCTTTCATTTAAATCCACATGCTTGTTTTTTTTTTTCCTTTAATTACACACAATGTTGCACTGTGGCTGGTCTCTTCTTTAAAGGGAAATCAGATTCAGTATATGTTCATTTAAAAAAGAAGAATATAAAGTTTTCTTAACGTCGCTGCAGTCTGAGAATTTGCATGATGTGTTTTTCCCCTTAAGATTGTGGGCAGAGAAGTTTCTTTGTCATTTTGATGATTAGCCTTTTTCTTCATAGATTCTTGTTTCTTAATTTTGAAAATCATTTAGATTTTTTTTTATTATTCCTACTATCAGCTGCACTTTGTGGTACTTCAAAAGATATTAAAGTATTAAGAGATGAATATTGTGTAAAACTATGATTATAACAAAGATAGTAAATATTTCCTCTTTATTTTTTTTTCATTTCCTAAAACTGAGGCTGTGCTGCAACACTACCAGAAAGACTGATCAAAGGCCCCCCCCCCCC